TATGGATTAAACCTATTTTAACTATTAGCACTGGTAGTTTTGTCTCTTTTTTTCTGATAAAGAATTAAGTTGAAATTTTCAATATAGGTTTATTTATAAAGTATGAGCTATTAGTACTAGTAATACCAATACGTAAAAATGCATATAGCATTCTTACTAATATTATAAAATAAGAATGTATTTTTTTATAACGGCTTGATCAATCTTCCTGAAATCTGATATATTACCATATTTAGTATTTGGTATAGTAAAAGACAGATAAAAGTTGCAAGAACAACTTTTCAATGTAGGTTTATTTTATGGGGCGCATCCATAAAATAAACCTATATAATTTTTTTTTATTTATTTATGTATACTATTTATGTATACCTAGTACTACCATTAATACTAAAAAATAATTCATGAATACCCGAAGTTGCTACGCGATTGGAAATAATAGGTTTCTTGTGGGTAAAGCCATCGTAAACAGCTAGTTTATGACATTAGTATGTAGGGACTGGTTTAAATGGATTGGATTAAAGTTCTCCATTACACAGCAAAATATGACAGGTTTATTTAACTTGGCTAATTTACAGGGTTCGTGTTATTCAGCTGAAACAGTCGTCGGGGACGGGGGAATGAACTTCGCAGTGTACGTACATTGTTTACTGCTATAAAACATTTTGAACTGTATCTCGAAAGATTACATTAACTAAAGTGCGGTTTACAATTTGACTTGTAATTTCAATCTCGATTTGTTTTTCACAGACTTAAAAATAAAACAACCTGTTTCTCTCAGTATTATCTATTTTCCTATATTTGAGTCACAGCGAGGGGATGAGATAGGCTCGATAGAGAGGCAGGTTGTAGCCATACTGTACAGAATAGTACTATTATCTACGTATGCTGTCGTTATTTTGAAAAAGATAAAAATATCTGCCAAATCTATTTAAAATGGGAAAATGGCCACCATCATATATAGACAGCAATTAATTGCACTCTCATACCCTCATACCTCACATGCTCTCACGACCTTAGTTTGCATTTGCATTGACTATCTTTACATCGAAACAAATAATGTACATATTACTATATCAAGCCAAAAACAGTAAAACAGTGTTTCTTTCTTCAAAATAATCCTTGAGGAGTCTATAGGCAAATGCAATACCTAGCATCAATGCTATTTCTTTGCCTGTTTATTATATGTATAAATCTAATTTGAATATATAACTGGTAACACCATTCAAATTGAGATATAACATTGTGCTAATTTATACATACACATGTCACTACCGGTAGTAATATTTGTACATTTGTAAACATTATTATTATGAAACGTGTCTACTCTGTTAGGGCAATAGACACAAAATATAATATGGTCGTTATAGATTCGCGCTCGTTAGTGAACGAGGCCAAGTCCTTTGTTATAACAAATAAATAATATATGTTGCGTTGTTCTTCCAATTTCTTAACAACAGCATATATATGTATCTGCCATAATATAATATCGTCTCATGATGTCATGACACAATAAATCTTTCACAATGAACTTAGTGAGTGACACAGAGTAAATTTTTTCCGCGTCGCGACATAAATAATTTATATTTAGATGGATGACTGGTACACTTTACGTCTACTTATAAAATAATAATAATTTAATTTTCCTAATAATAAGTTTGTGAAAATAAAATATAATACAGAAACATTTCTTACTGAAAAAACCTTAATAAACTATACAAAGAATAATACAATTACATTACAAAATAATCTCTATAAAGAAATGTGGATGGTTAAGTTAAATAAAAACCGGTATAATGGAGTAATTGAGATGTCACAATATACTCTATTTCAAATGAGATGACACATGAAATGATACTGCCTCTGTAAAAAATATAAAAAAGTTAAATGATAAGAAACTCATAATCGAATATCTCCATAGTCGAGCAAATACAACAATTTTCTGCGAATACTATGGTAATGATCTATGAGTGATACCAGTATTACTGAAATTTAAATTTTAAAAACATTTAATTAAGATCTTTAAAAAGTTTTACGTCCACTCCCATATCCCATTCATTTGCACGTCAACTCTCGCATGTGAGAGTCGACGTGCAAATGAACGTCGACTCTCACATGCGAGCCTTGCGAACCATGCCTCATCATAAAACTAACCCTGTATCATATTGCCGTCATGAATGGACGAAACCATAACGGGAACGTATCAGTGTCAAATATGACGTAACACCGGTCATTGTATCCGTTTCATTATGACAGGTTGCGGTGGTAATAGTCGATATGATAATAATAATAAATCAATTTTTATATTCAAGAACTTGACTTTATCCTTGCATATAAAAACGTCTGAAAACATCCACACAGAGTCCCAGTTTTAGATGCGTGTATACGTTATTACATTATCCCACTATATAAATTATAGTCCTTCATTCGTCAGTAAGCTATTCTAAGCTATGGTAATCCAGCCTGCGCTATCGGTATACGTTGGTGGAGCACCAATAAAAGATGATAGGTAAGGATGAAAGCAGGTCAATTAGCCCATCGTGAAGAATGACATAAGAATTAACCACGATGGTTTCCAAGGGGAACCGCGCGGAGGTCAACCCGATAGGTTGGGTATATTGCTAGCAATGGGACTGTTAGATTTCCCCCTTTATTAAGGTATTTGGGGAAGCAAGTAATCATCTTATCTGTAGAAAAATATATTGAGATAATAATAGTATTTTTTTTAATATTACAAAATTAATTTCAAACCTCTGTAGTATTAAAATAACAATGAGCAATGAATTCTTATACCTACTAAAATTTATGTTTAAGTTAACCATCTGTAAAATAAATTCGTACCTTTTTCCCGTTAATAAATTCTCTAATTCATATTTAAGTTATTACATTTGCTGTATATATTAAACATGCAAACAGTGTCCAATAATTTATGTACGAATTAGAGTAAGTAATATTCAGGTTTATTTAAAAATACGATTTGACTAGAGAAAGCAAACTGGTCAATGGGCGAGTACAGTAAGCAGTAATCTGAGCATATGGAATGAACGATCGATCATACTTGTACATTGTTATGTAAGCAGACAAAATCATAGTCAATAGAGGTCTGTATAAACAGATTGATGGCGGCAAGTAACTCAAGGACGCCCTCGCGACTAAACTACGAATATTCCAAATAAAGGCCAAATATGAAATATTTAGTAAAATACAGAATGAATATGTAGAATAAAAATAAAAATTAAAAAATTCTTGTAAACCTAAAAGCAAATTATCTCTAAGAGAATATGAGAAAAATTAATGTTTATAATTTCAAAACTATTAATAATAACGAAGTTAATATTTTTTTTATGGTTTGCTATGTGTAATCTATTGCTTATTCAAGGATGAAGCCCAAAAGTAAACGAATGTCTAGTTCCACCACAATAATGGTTAATGTGCGTCAATGCAACAAGTTATGGTCGCTATACTGACGTACAGTAATAGTAATCAGACAATAAACCTTAGGCTATCTATACTCAACCAAACAGGAACTATGGAAGCTCTATTATGACTTTATTACCCAACTTTACAGTTTACAAAAACTTAAAAGTAGATTATTAAACAAAAATTTACTTTTTTTATATACAACTTAGAATGGCAAACAAGCTGATGGTCAACCTGATGGAAAGTGGTAACCGTCGTCTATAGCATGAGCAGTACCATGGACATAACAGAGTATACTGTTTCGCCTACGATACCCTCTATGCGTTACCATTCCTACTAGACAGAACAATATATACGACTACTAGATCGAACGAAACACACATTCGAAAAATAAAATGAAAACCCTTTCCTGAAATATTCTGAAAACAACCTATATCTGGTATCTTGAAGCACCGGAAAGTAAATAAGTAATAAGTAAATAACGCGTAATGTTGATTCACGGCATAGGCACGGATATAGGTAAAATGATGGTAACAAAACCAGCGACTATTAAAAACTATTCTAACTACTAATATGCCATACAACCATCAACTTATTACAAACAGCTATAACTGATTATGGTTTTATAGGTTCTACCACCATTTATATGTATATCAATTTTAAATTTGCAATTTGAACAAATTGTAACATCAAATTGCACGTCTGCCAGACAGATCGAGTAGTGGGTATCAAATTAGAGCGGGATGCGCTCCGACCGGAAAATTGGATTCCTCTAGCCGTGAAATATAAATCTAGGGTTGACTCTAAGGGTACGTGAGTCAAGTAATGTGATTTGTTTATTAATAATCTTTAACCAATATAGATGGAAAGCAGTGACCGAATAGCCTTCCTAATGCAATTACCGTCTTTCTGCCTTTATTCCAATTTTCTAAGTCAACGTAATACATTTCCTCTTCTATTCATCTATAATCTCAATTTTCACCTTAATTCCTACTCTGACTATATCAACTTTCACACAATCTACCATGTTCCAGGTAACAGGTGACGTTACAGCCATTCATAAAACATTCTCTTCACTCTTGCGCATCACATGTCCATTCAAAAACAATTGTTTACTTCATAACATTTATATTACTAAAGCTAACTAGACTTAATGAAGACTATTTGAATATTTAAAAATTCACTGAAATGTCGCGAAGTATATTCAACTCTGAATTGAGAGTTTAAAATTTGAGAACTTCTGCTCTAATTTTTACATGTAAGTGGCAGCGTATACTACAGAAATCAGGCTGACACAATTTGCATCAATTCAACATTTCCTACTCTGCGCGGTGATGGCGTAACGCCGCCGTCATTTACCATATCTATCTTCATGTTAAAGCCGTAATACGCTGTGAGAATCAAAAGACTGATTGTCCTGTCTTTACGTCTTTGACTTTATACTAATATATACATAGATACATACCTTTTGAAATACTACATTCGAATGCACTCAGCAAAGTATTATAATTCTAAACATAATCATCTCTAATAATCGAAAATCTACGTGAATCTATTAAAAGTATTCAGTGGTTTGTACTCACCCTGCTGGGTAGGCGACGATCTCTGTGTTAGGATCACAGTCGAGGGCCGCATTACTGCCCACTGTCAGTCCGAGCACGCTCTCCAATTTGATCTGTGGACAAAAGAACAAAAGTATCAACAAGTGTTTAACAAAGCGTTAACAAAGCCCTCAGTAACTCTTTACCATAAAAGAGGAGATTATTTTGGTGGTTATCTATAGATACAAGGTCTTCAAATTTATGCACATACACAGTAGATAGTTATTGAACATTTCAAATTATAATTAATGATACACTCATTAAAATTGAGTGAAATTTTTATTATATTTTACGGATTTGAGAAAAAAAAAATAAGCATTATCAATGAAGCAAATTACAAAATATGATAGCGTCTATAAGCAACAGGGACTGCTAAAAATCATTTTTATTTATTTATTTATTTTTTGTTTATGGCAACAAACAGTCATTTACAAAATAATTAACAACAATATACATTACAGTTTTAGAACAATAGACCTAACAGTGCCAATAACAGTATTTTAAAAACATAGAGATAATTATTTATGAAGTCCCATGGAAACACGCATGAAATTTAGCAACAAATCTAAGGTACTAATATATATAAGTATCAAAGATGAAGAAAAAGAAAGAAAAAGCGCCGATCATATGGGTTGTATGCTTATTTGCCACATTTGTGATATAAAAAAAATATGACTCGTTTTAGAATTCTGTCACAACTTATAAATCTTTAAAGTAACGATTCGAAACCTCAAGATCTGGGCATATTCTATTCAGGAAACAAACGTGACATAATAAAGTTTCATGGAATCATTTAAATAGTATAATTTGTGTAAATAGTACAACAGCCTTGTAACACTATCTCAAACTAGGCCCAAAGTTTACATAGAGATTAACGTTTTTGGGTTAGTTACTTGATTTTTTGTTTACTTTGCGTAAGATCTCTTTGCAATTCCGATAAGTGCTTATGACGTACAAACAATATGAGGCACCTTTAATTGAAATTTTAATGTTAGAGCAAATTGTTTTTAGCTGCTGTACTGCCTAAGTGGATAAGTATAAAGTAAATAACGTTGTTGATTTATTCGTCTGGAAAAGATAGACATCGCCATTTTTATGTGTCTAGTTGAGGTACACTTTCATAAATATCGATGAATTGGTGAATGTAACGTTTATTGTGATTGTATGTAACTAGAATATATTGAAATGCCAAGACAAAGACAACTATGAGTGAAATTCGACTAGGTATGATAGGATCTACGTTCAAGGTTGGTAGAGAGTATGAAATAAAATATGTTATTGAAAACTCCCAAGATATAAAAACAAGAGAAAACAAGGTAAATAAATAGGATTAAGAAGGAAGAGCAAAGTTAATAATGAAAGGTGTAATAATAGAAGTAATAGAACGAGATAATTTAATAGTAAATATTAATATACGGAGAATATGCAATTATGACAAATTATGCAATTATGAAAAATTATGACATTTTATATGATAACTTGATAAGAAAATGATAACCTGGATAAAAAAACGTAATCTAGAATCACAGATACTGACTGACTTGACCGGTCGTCCTTGTAGAGGACGTGCATGCCCACCGACAGTTACAAAATAGTAGGAAGTCAAGGCTCAAGGTCATGACCTTGCAGTTAGTGCTTTAAAGTATTTTTTAAAGGTACATACTAAAATAATGTGACAAATAGGACTTATTTCAACTTCAAAACGGAAGTACAGGTATGGGGATGAATCATTGCAAACATTGACACCTACATACGAGTATATATGTACACAAACACTCAGAGTCGCTTACCTTCTATGAATAAAATTTAATAAGATGATTTCAAATTTTATAGATCACTTTCGAAACATTTTTAATACAAGCTTATTTCCTTTTACACTGATGGATGAAAGCGTAAAATCTACTAAGTTCCACAGTTGGAGGCTTATCATTTTTAAAATTTCGAATGATGGCGAGGTACCAGATAAAAATTATAACCGTTATTTATAGAATAGACATTAATAGCTAAAATATTTTAAGACCCTTGATACGTAGATCGTGCCTACGGGTTACCTAATTAAAGTAAAAAAATGGTATACAAGCTAAACTTAAATAATTCAATGACTTTATTCCAAAAAAAAACCGTGAAATTCTCACAAAATTAGAATGAAGCGGATAGGAGAGTAACAACAAGAAATACTGTGACATTTGAAACCTTCTCTTAGAACTCGCTTAATTAAAGAAACAGTCGAAATACCTAATCCAGTTTAAATGAAGAATCATATGTATGTGTAATAGAAATAAAATCCAAGGCCATCGACACCTGATCTAACCGGTTGTCCTCGCGAAGGATGAGCACTCGCTCGTTACAGACTTGTTGGGGACTTTAGGACCGTAACATATCATAACCTTGGAACGGAAGTTCGAATTACACGTTTTATTAATAACACTAAACTGGTCCCATATTGGCAGTCACATGGGAAATGTGCTAGTTACTGAATGAACTAAAATATAATTGTAGTGATAGAATGAAAAATAAAAACTCCACGGGCGATATATAGTACGAAGAAGCCAGTTCAAATGATAGTAACGGAGGATTTTGAACTACTGTCCCGTACACGAGTAGGCAAACACAGTAGAGATCGATCTATGTCTTATAAGTGTGCATATTGAATTTAATAAAAAAAAATACAAACAAAATAACAGTAAACGCCAGCTTTTTTACGTGCGTAAATCTTTAAACTAGAGTTTTATTTAGTAAATTGTGATGGCATCTCGCTTCTAAGTAATTCCAAGATGGCGAACTGGTTGTCCTTGTGAAGGATGCGCACGCGCCGACCGTTACAGCTACACGATCTACCTGAGACCTTGTAATTTGAACTTAGATTACAACGCAGATGCTTTTTAATGTTTCGTATATTACACATGAGCTCCCTGAATTCCATTTCTAGTTAACGACGTCATGTTTCGTAGTTATATCTAAAATATTTTAATTTAGAATACGAAATGGTGTGTTTACAAGTAAATTAGCTCAGCAACAAGCAATGTTTTGCATAAATAAATAGGCACCGGTTTCCATCGTTGCAATAATTATATGGAACCATCACGGGAGCAAACACTATCGATTGCAATAAGAATTGTGACAATATTTTGATTTTTATTAAAAAAAAGTTGCAAGTATATGCAACAATTTATAGATTATTGGAAAATCCAATTATTAATATATAAACATTGACATCGATACAAATATTTGTATTGACACTTCGATAATTTGGCACACCTAAACTCAAATCAGTATCTAACCATATCAGGTTAATCTTAAAACACGGATCCCTAAATATTTTATATGTGTAACGGAATATTCCTTTTCCTTTTTTTCGCTTGAATAATTAACCGAACTTGAACTCTCTATAAAAATTAATATTCGTACCGCAGCTCTCACTTTCTCGAATCGATCAATACCTAGACTTTAGTTTCGGAGATAATGGAATAATCACAACGGTTTATCAATAGTATCTATTATTTTATAATTATAATCACTACGCAATTTTCTGATAAGGAGCTGGTTTCTGGTATGACGAGTCTACAGATTGGTAGTAATCGACACAAATGTTCTCAGAAATAATTAAGTTGCAACTCGTAGAGAAATGTGAGTGCGTGCGCGTTCATCTTCACCACGGCAGTTCCGCACGTTATGCAAGCACCCTAATTACAGCATGACAAACTGGGTAATTTATCGCTCTTACTTATTTCTATCGTGAAACAGCAACAGCGTTATAGTGTTAGTTCGTAAGTTTATACCCGGGGGTGGCAAATGACAACATCTAAAAGTCGCATTTCACCGAACATTCTATATCTGTGGTGATGTTTTATACGTTACGGTTACAACTTTTCATCAAATGGTTCGTTTGCCATTCACTCCCAATAAACGCGGGAAGATTGATAATATTCTCACGTACACAAACAGCACGTAAACATCCAAAGTTTCGGTGAATTCCGATAAAAGAAACTGGTTAAACAGTGCATGCGTAATTTGACCCAAACGTACAAATTGACGAGTGAATAATTTACTTGCTAGATATATAAATAGAAACACAAGATAACCACATATGACCATAAGTACATTTTTCCCAGCTATTATAATGTACTGCGATGTTTATTAAAGAGCCCAAAGAATAGGTAACTTTTTATATCATCATCATCAACCGTCAACTATCTACTGTTGAACATAAGCCTCTCCCATTTTTTATATACTGGAATATAAATACATTTTAACGAACTACCAAATCTTCTATTATTATATTTTTTTACATTATAATATTTTGTTACTACGTCTACATAAGTATGTACTGAACTATTACCTCTACACAAAATATTCTTAGCAAAAAAATTTATACCTGCAGAACCCGCAAGCGCATTCTACTACTACTACTAGACCAGTTTCTATTATCTATAGAACTAAATAAGCCTTTCACTTTGTTAGCTTTAAATTAAAATATAGATTGCACGCACAAATTAATTATGTGCCGAATTATAACCGATCTGATATTGCGTCTAACTGAGATATTCGTATTTGCGTTACAATTAAAACAGGGCAAATGCTAAACAGAATTGCCCACTGATTTATTTTTTATTTTTAGGAAGACAAACGAACAGACGGTCCACCTAATGGAAAGCAGCTACTGTCGCCCGTGAACACCTGCAACACGAGAGAAGTTACTTGTGCGTTGCCAATCTTTTAAACTTCCAAAGAACTTAATAATTTATAATTATTTCCGCGAGATAATAACATAATCAATAGTACCAAAAGTAATAAAAACAATACTTATTGTTTGTACAAAGAATCACATATTTTTTAACTACAAAGTATGTATACAGATCCATGCAAAATATCACCTACCTACCTGACCTAAAGTCGCAGTTATTTGCGAATCAAAATAATCACATTGGTATAACACATAATTAATTTATCTCTATACATGCAATTACTCACATGTCTAAACTAAAAAGTCCCGCCGCCATAACAGCACTTGACGAAATACCTCGTCAAAATATTTCAACACAAATATTCATAAGGTCCCACCCACGCCGATCAG